CAATAGTCTCTGTGCGTTGGTTTGGTTCAAATAATAGATCATAAGAATAGGGCAGTGTTTAATGTTTAGAGAGACTTACGGTAAATGAATAATGACTTAGTTATGATTTAAGAGGTTAGAAAATTTCTCTAAAGTTTAAGTTTATTTATGAATAAATTGAATATGAATATTGGAATTGAATATGAGGTTTTTATTAAATTTATAGAGGTGAAAAATGAACAAAAGTTTATAGAAATTAATTTAAGTTAAAAGATAAAATAGTTTATAGATTAAATGAAAAATTCTCGGATAGATAAATTATTGAGGTCTATGGAATGATTATATTTATCATTATTAATTTTTGTAGACTAGTGTTTGTGTTGATGATTTTGTGAACATTACGAAACGCGTAATTTTAACTTAAAAAGGAGGTAGCAATGATTATTCTTTTAGTATAAAAAAAAATAATGATAATTCTTTTTATATCGAAAAACTGTTGTGATATAATTCATTTATATGCAAGCTATTTTGAAAATATTGTACCCACTAAGGCCTTATTTGATTTATCATTGAATGAAAATGTACCTTTAAAATTGTTCAGCATGCTTTGTTATAGTTTGAACTTATATATTATTTTGTTCCTTTTTAATATTGCTAGTTTATATTGTTTAGTGAATTGTGTTGTAGAAATGGTTATTTATGACTACTTGAATCCTTTCAAGCATGGTTGTGAATATTTGAAATATTATAATAAATATGTTTTGCTTTTTTCAAACTTGTTTGTATGTTTTGAAAACTTGTGGATGTGATGCAATTGTAGGGAGTATAAGGGGATATAATTATGGTGGATGTGTTGAGAATTTTGTTGTTATTTTGGCCATGTGATAAGCCACAACCAAAGATCTTTAGGACCATGGGACATTGGGTATTTTCTTTTGAGTAGGAGAGTTTAGTCTTATAGGCAATGCACTTTTGGTTGGGTGTATCTGTAAGTTAGACTCTGGCTAGAGGGATAAGATAAATATGAGGTAAAAGAGAGGGTTAGGAATACCATCACTTGTTTGTATGACTTTTTGTTATACTTTTGAATTGAACGAACAATATTCCTTTGTTCGCGAACACATTTTGTGAACCAGTATTGTGAAAGATACTATATCTGTGAATAGATATTGTGAAATGAGATTTTGGCCAGTTTGTTAGGATATTTAGAATTCTCACATGTTATTAAGATAGTTGGTTTCGCATGTTACCTCTTACAATTTTTAGATGTACTTTTCAATAGGCATAAGAGAAAGTGTTAGGGAATTGAGTGATGACTCAACTGTCCTCTAAATATTACGCATATTCAGTTTACACTTTGTTTATGGCCATGACTTAGGAGTATGTATTTAAGTTACTATTTTATTAGTTTTGAAACTAATAAATTAAGGTTCTTTGAAATTACCTTGAAGAGTTATTTTACTTGATTTTGTAGGCTGAGCCTTTTTTTTAATTAAAGTCTCTTTTTGTTTTTGTTTAATTTATGGAAAATGGTTGTAATCTTGAAAGCCTTGGTTGCTTTATTAGGATCATAATGTTTAATTGGCAAGTTTTTATTATTAATATATGATATTTTTTTAATAAAAATAAGGGTGTTACATCTAGAGCTTAGGAGTTTTTCAAGGCTTGGGTTGCTCTCCAAATATCTCAGTACATTCTTAGCAGCGGATGCATGCGCTTTTCTTAAAGCTTGCATAAACTGACTCAAATTTTACATAAAAAATATATATTAGGATGTATTATTGTTAAGTATATCAACTTACCAATAAATCTCCTGTGCTCCCTAATATCTTCCAACAGTTATTCTCTCTTGTTTCTTCCTTCCTCATATGTTGTAAGTCTCAAATTTAAAGCCAAAGGCACGGTCAATGGCCTACAACCACTCATCCATGTTTCAAACAACAAACCTAGTACATACTTCCTTTGGTTTATGACAATACCTTTTTGGGAACATGCTACTTCAATCCTTAAGAAGTGTTCATCTTGATTTTATTTATAAGATACATTCGACAAGTAATTTTAAATCTAAAATATATGACACTTTGTAATAATTAAACTACTTTTTATAATTTTATCCCTTATTGATTAGTGTGAAGATATTTAATGTAGTTGTATTATTATTTAAAACTAATGGTAAATATGAAAGTGCATCTCGCTTTTTTATGATATCAAGAAAAAAAATTAACTTTTTTTAATATACGTGAATCGATTGAAAGTGTCCTATAATAAGAATCAGATGAAGTATTTTAATAAACCAAAATCTTTTATTTTGAATTTATTGCGAAGAACATCTTTAGTTTGTTTAATTCTAATCTCGAAACTCTTAATAATTAATAAATCATCCATATACAAAAGGATTAATGCAATGCTATCATCAAAGTGTTTAATAAACATTGAATAATCATGCATGCTTCTTCTACTATAACCTATCAATTTTAGATACCACGTTAATTATAGTGTGTCTACAGATCACATTAGAAAATTTGGAATGCAAATATTTATTATCTGAATAATAACACTGCATTAATGATTAATGAAGCAACCATAGGGCACAAGCATTTATACAGATGTCACAGAAGGCAAAAAGACTAAAATACCCCCATATGAGTGAACTACACTATAAACCAACAAATAACAGAAAAACACATAAAACATTACATATCTTCAACAGAAAACAAATTGGCAAGTTATAGAGACGGAAGGAGATAGGAGCGAGTTATCCGTCAACTGTGTGTAAAGTAAAATTAGGATAAAACCAGTAATGGACGAAAGGGATAGAAATGTAAGTAGCAGAAGAGCAATTTAGCTGAGTAGTTGCACTCATTAAGAGAACGTCAAGATTAGCGTTGAATCGTTACAATTATAATGCACACTTGATGACTTGGGCATTCAAAAACCTCTGCTTCTTTCCCTGCACAACACACAGCCATGGCTATACAATAATTAATGGCTTGTTCTTGATCTATCTTCTTGCTAGTCACCTCGCCACGACCATTCTTCCTTCCTGGAATCTCCTTCTATTTTCATTGCAAACAGAAAAATACATACTTTCTCCATGCCAATATAGAGTGTGCCTCCTAGAAATCTTATCTAATTCAAAATTTGAGGTATTAAGTAATTTTTATAATTTTTTTTAACTATATCTCTACTTCAATTATTACTCTTTTTGAAGAGTGATACAATGAAATTTCAATTATTATTAGAATGTTTAATGGGTATATTTTTTTTTGTTAGAAGTGAGTATATAATTGAAAAAATGTAAAAATTTTCAAGAGATTTAAAAAGTTTCAACTTACGTTTTCTTACAATTGTTATTAAGGCCTTATATTGTGATCTAAAACAAGTATTATGCAAAGATTAATGGGTGTGAATTTATTTATTTTGGAAAAATTATTTGTTCATGTAATTTTAACATAGGTTCTTAATTTTAATGGAGTGAAACTTTTTTATATAGTTTTAATAATTTAAAATTTTATTTTTTTACATTTCAAAAAAATAAAATTATAAAAACTACTATGTTTTAAATTGTTAAAAACTATAGTCATTAAATTATATGAAATTAAAATTTAGGAATTAAATTTGGGTTAAAGGGAAATCTTATCTTTACATTATAGTTGTAAAAGTATTTTAAATCCTAAAAAACTCATTTTTAATGTAATATTTTTTTTTAATTTTTAAAATGGTGTAATATTATTGTGCAAAAATTAACTCTCATTGTTAGTTCATTAAAAATTACAAAAAATAACCTAAAAGTGACAAAAAAGAAGCAAAAAATTATTAAAAAATTTTAAAAATTACAGACAAAAATCCACAAAATTATAAAAAAGGGCTAGTCATATTCAAAATTTTTGAGATCTTTTTTAAAAAATTTTGATCAATCAACAACAATTAAAGTTAGCATTTCTAAAAAAATTGAAATGGGTTAAAAGTTATATTATACTATTTTAACATGTTGAAAGGAGGCATTTAAAATATAAAAAAAAGTTTAGGTCGGAGACAATCTTAAATGTATAGTTATTTAAACCATTTATTTATTTTTAACTAAATTACAATTCTAAAAATTGAGTTACATCCAACCAAAAGTTGAAGATTAAGGTCATATTTAAGTAACACTTAAAAACATATTCAGATCATATTTAAAATATATTTTTATTAAATTTAATAAAGAGTTGAATCTTTTAAATATATTTTTATTAAACATAAATTAAAAATCAAACATACTAAATGGTATAGAATGAATAATTTTTACATTTATCTATTTCATGACTTCGTGGCTGACCGAACGCTCCCTTGTCACCTCTTCCGTAGGGCTACACAAAAGACAGGACGGTACTAGACTTCACCCTAACTCGAAGTCCGATCTCTTTCATGAAAAAGATTGGGTTAGGCAACCTATAGTTCGATCTTGTCCAGTGACAACCCGAAGATTAATAGGACTGGACTTGGTCTATAGGATTGAAAGACTGGTCTTATCAGTCCAGTATTCACTTAGCTTTTTTTTTCCTTTTTATTCTATGAGAGGCAATAATCCATTTCAACATAATAAATTCAATTAAGATAGTAAAAACACTTATAATAATAATAAATTCATAATAATTTCCAACAATAAGAAAAAATATTTTTGTTATAGTCTAAATGATTTAAATTTATAACTCTAACATAAACAGCACTCAATAAAATTCAACAACATTGCATTACAATAATAATTTAAAAACAAATTTAACAAATCTTTATACAATCATTTCTTTAGTATCAATTACACTTCAAACATTTTTCAAAAATAAATTAATTATAATTATAATAAAAAAATTAATAGGACCAGTATAACTCGAAGAAATAGTCTAATTTTTTTAATTTTTTTATTCTTAAAGGATCAATATTTATACGAATCGAATAAAATTAAGACCATCTCGAATTAGACTTTCAGGAATGGAAGATTTTTGTATAACCTTAGTCCTCCGTGTGTTTTTGTTTTGTTGTGTGTGTGGGTGTGGTTTGTTTTTCTTTTAGGGTTTGGGTTTGAACTCTGAAGAGTTAAACCGTTCTGCTTGGTGTCTCTTCTCTCCACAATCACCGTTCTCACCGGTTGCAAGGCCTACTGATACCTTATGATATCCAAGTTCCTCCATTTCTTCCTTCGCCACAATATTTCGATCTCTGCCGTCGAAATCGCCCTCCTCAACTGAAACCCTTTCTCGGAAGCGAAGATGAGACCGTTGGACGAGGCAGAGACAACTGCAGTATTCGAAAAGCTCTTCAAATTCGTCGGAAACAACCTCAAGAACATCGTTGAAAATCCCTCCCATGAAGGTCCCGATTCCAACCCTGGCCGCTACTGCTTCCGCCTCAACAAGAGCAAGATCTACTACGTCAGCGAATCTCTCGTTAAGCGAGCCACCAACGTAGCCCGACCTAACCTTGTTTCTCTCGGCACTTGCATCGGCAAATATACTCATGGAGGTAATTTTCATCTGACAGTTCAGGCTCTGAACTTGTTGGCTGCTAATGCTAAGCACAAGGTCTGGCTCAAACCCCAGTCTGAGATGTCGTTCTTGTACGGGAATCATGTGTTGAAGAGTGCTTTGGGAAGGATCACGGAGAACATTGCGCCTGGTGATGGGGTTGTGGTGTTCTCCATGGCTGATGTACCGTTGGGTTTTGGGGTGGCTGCCAAGTCCACTCAGGATTGCAGGAAGTTGGACCCTAATGGGATTGTGGTGCTGCACCAGGCGGATATTGGTGAGTATTTAAGGATGGAGGATGAGCTTTGAGAGGTTTTTTCGATATGTGTCTTGTCCAATTTGGGTCACTGTGAGATTTTGATCTTGTGTATTAAGTTGAGAATGCTTTTTTGTTGAATATTGCAGTGACTATAACTATATTTGCCTGCCCCTCAACTGCATTTGTGGCTTCAATGTTATTTTACTTTTATGAATTTGATTGCCTCTCTTTTCTATGTTAAGGATTTTTGAGTTTGTTATGCTTTCTACATTTACATTTAACATGCGTTTAAAACTCCTCGAGCTTTCTGCTCCACAAGAGTAATGAAGATAATATATTGCCAATTCCAGCTGATGCACTTTATATCCCTTTCTCCCTTGAAATGAATCCTTCATATGATTCAGAGCTCTAATGGAATTTACCATCAATATGTGATTGAACTTTTTGTGCTATTTGGATTTTCATAACTCGTGTTTTCTAGAATGTTGCTAAATTGGATTTCCATTTGTTTCTCTTTCCTTTTTGATGATTTTGTTCAAGGTATGTCTGAAACGTGATATGGACATTTACTGAGTCGTGTGCACGGATGTCTTTTTCATTTAGTTTTAACCTTTCATTTAATTTTTATCTCTAAACTATAATGATTGAGAATTCTCCATTATTTTGGGTTCAAAGGGCTCTTAAATAGAGTCCTCAGCCGCATTGCAGTTAGAAGTTGCCATAAAATAAAAAATGGATGTGTCAGTGGTGAGAAAAATGAGAGCAGTAACAGTCATTTTTACTGATACGAACAGGTTAACTCTAGAAGGTCCTGCTAGTTACATTTAACCACAATTTGAATCTTTGGCTGGATTTGAGCGCAATTTGAGTGGGAAAAAGAGAAGGGTGGTGTTAAGAAGATACAGGCAATTAGTGTTAGATTCTTGAGTCTTATCCGGCAAGATAATGTATTTTAGCAATTCTGTTTTTCCTTTCTCCTTCAAAAGTTCAATATAAATTGTTTGCAGATATCTGGGGACAGTTCAATCATGGATTTGTCATTCAATACTGAAGGGAAGTTTTTGATAGTTACGTGTCATTCAGTTTGTTGATCATATCTAGGTGCCAAACCAGAGATCTCACTCATTTTCCCATCCTATGGTCGATGTCAGGGTCTATCAGTCCCTAATATGGCCACAAGTTAGATAGAGAGATACATGTTGCCTAGTAAATATAACATTTGATCAAATCATAACGTAGGTGTGATGTATCAAGGTGATTTTTCATACCCAGGTAAATCCACGTTTCAGGTGTCCAGAGTTCCCAGTTGAGTGCCACCACGTAGATACAATAGATATGGAGAAGACAAGTGCTAGTTAGAGAGATAGGGATGAGGGATGAGACATTGAGACCTACATGGACAATTAAGGGTTGATTTCTATCTTTACCTCTGTCCTCACTTTACGTCATTGGAGAGAATCCTTGTCCATTGCTAGTTGTGTCTCCCTCGGATTTAAATAGGCTCTTGGTCTCAGATGTAATTCAAAAAAAGAAAAAAAAAAAAGGCTCTGCCTCGAGTGTATTTATATTCTGTATCAGGATCTCAAACTCATTGATTGCTGAGAGCAATACTTTCCTCTCAGCCACTTACCCATAGGCCCTTCAATTGTCCTGCTCTATTGGTCCTTCATGGCTCATGCTCAAAGTTCTCTGACCATTGGAGTTTGGCTTACACAATTGCAAGAGGTTATATTTGATACTTTTTTGGCGATGATAATATAACTAGCATCCATCATTACAACCAGTGATCAGTTGTTTGTTCTCCTGGAATAGCAAACTTTCAATTCTTATTCCCAATAGAAGACTTGTTTACATAAAATTGTTTTATTTTATACATTATTAGCCACTTATGTCATCGAATTTCTCGTAGTCTACAGTTTTTTATTTTAAATTTTTGAGGAGAGGTTTTCATACTTGAATCATGATCGTTAGGAAGGAAAGCAACGTTGACAGTTAGTACAAGATCTGAGATAGACAGACTGTAATAATAATAATATTTTTTTTTGGGGGAATTAAAAGGGTAGGTTTTACCATCCAACCTGATATTGCAGGCTTGGGACTCCGAGAATTTAACAATCATATATTAAAGAAGTGTAAGGGTTTCATCATGATGGCGTTGCAATTCCAACAAACCCAATAATTTTTTTAACTCAACTAATTAATTAAAGAAATAACAAATGAATAATGTAATTCTCATATACTCATTAAAGAATTGCAAGCGGCTTTTTATATCCAGGGGATCTTTGTTTAATTCAAACTATCACAATTACATGATAAACTAAAAACCAGTATGTTCTAAATCCAATAATTTAGCGCAAAATTGATCACTTGAGTTAAATCAAAGATTGAGATGATGTGAAATAAAATTTTTAATTGAATTAATTAGATTACAATTTTTTCCCCTTAGATTACCTATTTTTCTGGGTCAATACACGTTGAGCAAAATGATATTCATATCCTTATTAAATCTAAAAAAATGTTATTAATTATTAAATAATAATAAAAACATAATACTCTTATAATTTTATTTATAAGTTATTTTTAACATGTTTTTTTTAAATTTATTAACTCTTCAAAAATTTAATAAGTTTTCAATTTTACTTTTATAAAATATAGATACTTTAACAACTACTTCCCCTATAACAAATTTAAATGTAACTATTCCATTAAATGAAAAAAAAATGAATGGAGGGGGAAAATTAAAAAGGCTCAATTAGGAGAGCTTTACTTCCCCTTTAAGACCCAACGCAATTTAAATCTGGATGAACAGTTACATGGTTGTCACATAAGAAAATGAATATGAAACAAAACACCCTTCAACAGGGGAGCCAAAATCACATGGTTCAAGATCAAAACTGTGAAACAAAAATTACAATTTTCGTACTTAAAAAAAAAAGAAAAAGAAAACTACAACACAGTAATTTTTCCAGCACATGATATAGTGACATTCTCATTCCTCTTTTTAAGAATTTGTAAATACTACAGGATACCGGCCAGCAAAGATGGTAGTAAACCTTTTCTTTTTAGTGGCCAAAATCCCCCTTCAAACCAGATTTTCTTCCCTATTCACTACATGTAGACACCATTATAAAGAACCAATATATAAACTGAAAGATCACGGGTCATTTGTACAGTCAAATCCGTGGCAAACAGAGAGCCAGATAACGAGGACTAAAAACAACAAAATTCCAAGAACAATCAACTTGATTTTCATGTTCTGGTACCACATCTTCCGACGGACCTGTGTTCCTTGCTTTTTGAATTCTTGGGCCTGAAAATAAACACATGCGATTCTCAGCCCTAGAAAACATATGACCAGAAAGGTTGGTTGTCTAACTTTAGTCAACTTACCTGTGACTTCAATGTTTCTGTCTTGTCCGCAAGGATGGTTAGATTTTCTCCTCTGTCAATAGCCTGAAAGCATGTGCAATGAAAACAAAGATCAGAATGTATTACATCATAATGATCATATGCATCTTAATATAATGAACTTCAAATATTACACCCAGGAGAAAATGGGGAACGTGTGAAAAACATTAATCCATGCAAAGAAACTTCATGAAGATACATATTTGCAAATGTGACAAGGACCAAACGAAGCTCAATTCTAAACTACAGGAATAGTTATTGAACTTCCACTACAAGTTGTCCCCAACAATACTGGGGGGGGGGGGTGTTAAGCACAGATGTTTATTGCTTTACCAAGTACCGCCATTGCTATGATGGAAGTAAAATGCCACAAGCAGAGAAAGATGGAGTTTTTCTTACATGAGAGAAAAACATGAAATTGCAATGAATTATAAATTAGAGAAGGATACAAAGAGACAACTGCACTAAGAAATGAATGAATATAAAAAATATTTCCATGTTTTACACCTGAAAAAATTAAGGTACTTCCATGTTTTACACCTGAAAAAATTAAGGTACCTTGTCGATGTTCTCTAACATTATACTTTTAACTTCTGAAACTTGAGCTTTCACTTTTATTAGCTTTTCAATCTCCTCAGCATGGTCTATGATATACTTCATATGCTCTTTCATAACCGGTCTGCAAATGTACATTCATTCATGATATCATTCATCTTCAGAAGCAAACTTTTCTATCCATGCATTAACATATCAACAAGGGATTAGGAAGAAATGAGTGTACCCAAACTCCTTGTTGAGACTTTTGCCAACAGCTGTATCTGCTTTTCCACCACCATATCTTTTCTTAAAGTCTGCTTTGACACGTTCTAGGAAAGCAATGGAGATCTGCTTGCTAACAGATTCCTTTGCAACAACACAGTAAGCTGCAAGAAATCCCGTTCATCAAACAAAGCATAAGTTGTCATTGTGTGTAACTTAATGATGAAGTAAATCTTGAGTTTCAGCAGTATGGCAAAATGATCCAATAAAAGTCAAAATATAATTTGTGGAGGTTATGGAAGCAGCGGTAATAGTTGCTGACAAAAGTAAGGCACCAACATTTTGGAGTTGACAATCATGTATTTGTCATCATGGAATCACGAAACTGGCCATGCATTTTTTATTACTCCTAAGGCCAGCCCAGAAGGTATCTCAAATTCTCAACAGGAAGTTTTGCAGGATTGCTATCACAACTTCAGTCTCAAGATAAATCTTGTTTGAAGACTTTGATTCAAGTCCTACCAAGACGTCTGATATCTCAAGATTAAGGGAGCAAAGGAAAACATTGAAATGAAGCGTTACCATGGATGCATGGTACCAAACACGCGTTATCAATCAAGGATGTATGGGCTACAAAGTAAAAGAAAAATGAAAATTTTCAACATCAAAGAGAGCCCAATCATGGGAGAGAACTATTCTTTGACAAGAAAAAGGGCCACGCACGCATAAACATGAAAGAAAAAAGGTCTCCATATATCGTTTGCATTGATCAGTGATAAATGCCTCTTCATCTATTAGTTGAATAACAAACAGTCCTCTAAATTTCAAAGCAGAATTCAATGTCGAAGTAGAGCCATGCAAAATGAACTCCTGTAAACCCAATGCTTCTAAGAAACAAAACTTAGTTCGACTTTCAGAACGCAAATTCTACTTCTCATTCAAATTCATCTTCGTTAGTCGGATGGGCAGGTAACAAAACTTATGACTGAACCGACAAAAGTAAACAAACATAGAGGAAAATCAAAATCAAACTGCTAAACAGAACCAAAAACGGAAATCGTTGTGCCATGTGAACGGCCCCATAGTAAGTTGAATCTGCTTCAAAACCAGATCCAGTACATCAAAATTCAATCCAACTTCTATTCCATTTTCATTGATAAAAAATGTGATTCACATGCTGAAAAATTCGCAGATCTCAATTTCGAATTCAGAGCGAAGAAAAACATAACCAATCTCGAAAGTATGCAGCCATCATTCAACTTGACCGAAACCAAAATGAGCACAGGTATACCAAAGCATAATCTTAGCACAGCTTTGAGTAATTTTAAATGAACAAACAACAAATCAAAAGATCCCAATTCTAGGGTTCCTAAGCACAAAAAAGGGATTTCTAAATCTCATGGAAATTTTGTCAAATTAGCATAATTAGATTGCTCTGAGGGATACTTTCTAAATTGCAAGGAAATTTCTAACATCAGAGTCATGCAAGAGAGAGAGAGAGAGAGAGAGAGAGAGAGAGATCAGAATAGTGCGGATTACCGTAACCATCCTCGAGTAGAAAATTGAAGGTGTGGCGGTCACAATTGTAAGTGAACTTGTTGTTGGAGGAAGGTAGTTTCTGAAGACACTGAGCTGCAATCGCCGGGAAGTTGCCGGTGAACTCAGTGTACTCAGCTAAGACCATCGTCCCCCGAGCGACGAAGCTATATATAAAAGATTCCTGCCCCATTGCTCTCAACCAAAGACTGCTCGAAGCTCAGCTATAGATATATAGCTACACAGAAAGAGAGAGAGAGAGAGCTTGGCGTGGGGTTGTGGCTATTCTGCTCTACAGTGGCAGAGAACTTGGAGTGAGAGAGTGGCTTCTCGTCTTTACTATGCATAAATAATTGATCTTATTCAGAATAAAATATTACAAGTGTCATCAATAAATATATAATTTTAAAAGTTACTAAGAAATAAAATAATGTTTTATATCCAGGAATTGCTACGCGTAACTTCGTTAAACTTCAATTCAATTTTACTATAATAGAGTGTAAAAATTACGAGATTAACATATAATATGGGATAGTACGGTTTTAACAAAGACTAATGAATGCTGGCAAAAAAAAAAAGACTAATAAATGCAAAAAAATATTTTTCATTTTTTTCTGCATGTGTAATTTTGAGTTTCACTTTTCAAAAAATGAGAAGGGAAATGAAATATGAAGATAGATCTAAAGTGCATAACTATGACTCTACGAGAGACTTCTTCATTTGAGAGGCTCGCTTTCGGCGTGAGTGGGAACTTTTTAATTATGATCATTGAAAGCAATATAAGGAAGGCAAGCAAGCCCTTTTATGTCATTTACCTTTTCCAGTTTATCCTGCTTTTAATTATTTATTAAATGAAGTCTATTAAATTTATCACTTTTATTCGTGCTAAGTTATCTTAGTGTCGAATATCTTTTTTTTGGCCAATCTCTAGTATTGAATACTTTGGTTACTTCTGCACTTATATTCTCTCATGCCAAACAGAGACAATCAATTTCCTTTTTATTTTATTTTTTTTTATGGCCAATAGCCCGATGGTTTCACTTGGCAGAAATCTCCCTTTCACAACAATAAAAAATAATGATAATAAATCTGAAAAAAAAGAGTAAAAAAATTAAGACAGCACTTTGCAGTATCTTGTTCTTGTTCAGTTTACTTGTAAAATATTTGGCTGCCTGTTTTAATTTGAAAATTTTTAATATTTTAATTTCATAGTGCCATTTTTTTTAACCAACATATCATTTACTACAACATTTTTGCCAGATCATTTACTGCAAGTTTATATATATATATATATATATATAGTATTCCACACTTGGCACAATAATTACTTGAACGGTATAGTTGTTGGATTAAAAACCTGTCTCAAATAAGATTACCTTTAATAAAAATATATCAATACATAATAAAAAAAATTAATGTACCCAATTTTCTTAACTATGATGGATTGTAAATTTTAACAAACTGAACTGATTACAAAAGATGAATCTTGCGCCTTATTTCTCAAACCATGTAGTGCAGTGTAAACGATCATTTGTTTCAATTTTACATCCGATTTTATTAAAAAAATATTAATAACAAAATAAATATGTATCTCATTTTTTAAACTTGTTATAAATATGTGAATAAACTTATTTACTATTTATTTAAAATTAAAATTAATAGAAATAACAGGCATTGATCAGAGTGGAGGAGGCCAGGAGCTGGACAATGTTGGAATGGAAAATTACATTTTTCATATTCTAATTAAAAATAATAATTTTATCAATAATATTTTAAATATTGATTATCAATATAAAATATAGTTTTTAGAAATTTATAATAAATTACATGATTCACATATTATTAACCATAGTATGGATTTCGCACATTTTCATATAGCATGGTTCATTACAACCTTCAGTCCTACACTGATATACACATCCACCGGATAAGTAAGAAAATTCCATTTCTAGTTTCTCCACGAACGGACCGTAAAGGCGTAAATACTGTGTCAAGACGCCGCCGCATCTGGTGGCACTGCTGAGTGTTCCGTCCTGTCCTGAGCCGTTGTTTCCTCCACCGACAACTGCTGGGTCAAACTTCGCCACGTCAAAACTCAAAACCGTCTACTTCGTCGCTAAACTGAATTCTCTCTCTTTTCTTAATTAAATAATTTTTGTATCCCACTTCCTGTCTGATTCCAATATTGCTCCTTGTTCACAATCACGACCACAACAGATAGGACAAGCACTATACCACTCCTTCAATGGTAATAAAATAGTAATAATCAGAGTTGTAATTTTCCCTCAGATTCCGAAAAGGGAGAAGAGACAGGAAGGATTAAATCCAGAATTCACCGTCATGGTGAATCAAAGAAGAAAAAGCCTCCACCTTGTCTGCATTGTTACTCCTATATAGCATCTTCTTCATTTCTGTAAAAATCCACATTTCTCCTATGGCTTCACTTTTGTCCACCCTTGTTTTCATCACCCTCTTGTTATTCTCCTTCTTCTTCTGCTTTGCTGTCTCTCAAGCAACTTCCAGTGATGAATCAGACGAAGATGGCTGCGACAACCGTTGGATCTACCTCCGGAGTCTCCCTCCGCGCTTCAACCTCGATCTGCTCATGAATTGCTCCGAATACCCGCTTTTCGACGACTTTTGCCCTTACTTGGCCAATCATGGCCTTGGCCAGAAGACCCATAACCGCTCTTACAGTTGGTATCGGACCGACCCGTTGATGCTCGAACTCATATTTCATCGTCGCATGCTGGAGTACCCATGTCTCACAGAAGATCCATTTTCTGCTAACGCGGTTTATCTTCCCTATTATGCTAGCCTCGACGCTTTGCGCTATCTCTACGGCCCGGAGATTAACTCTAGCGCCGAGCACGGGCTCGAATTTTTCGAGTTTCTGCAAGAAGACGAGCCCGGAATCTGGAATCGGCACATGGGTCACGACCATTTCCTGGTGATGGCTCGGCCGGCGTGGGATTTCTCGCAACCGTTGGAGAATGATCCACCCATATGGGGGACTTCGTTTCTGGAGTTGCCTCAGTTTTACAACGTAACGGCTTTGACGTTGGGGTCTCGTGCTTGGCCATGGCAAGAACACGCGGTCCCTTATCCGACGTCGTTTCATCCGCCAAATCTCGAGCTATTGGAGTCTTGGATTCAGCGGGCGAGGCGTTCGAAACGCACCGCTTTGGCGATGTTCGCCGGCGGCGGAGGGATCTCCGCCGCGCCTAATATTCGACGAAGCATTAGAAATGAGTGCGAGAATAATACTGCAAACTCAACCTTATACGGTGGCTATGCGAAACTGTGTGACCTTGTTGATTGCTCTAACGGAATTTGTGAGCATGATCCTATAAAGTACATGAGGCCAATGTTGCAGGCAAGTTTCTGTTTGCAACCTCCTGGGGATACTCCGACTCGTAGGTCGACGTTTGATGGATTTTTGGCTGGATGTATCCCGGTTTTCTTCGAGGATCAATCTGCGAAATCGCAGTACGACTGGCATTTGCCGGAGAACGAATTCGAGAGCTTCTCGGTGTTCATACCGAAGGAGGATGTAGTGTTCAAAGGGGTGAAGATTTTCGATGTGTTGCGAGGCATTTCTAGAGGCAGAGTTAGGAGGATGAGGGATAAAGTTTTGGAGATGATTCCCAGAGTTATGTACAGAAGGCACAATAGTTCACCTGGTCTCAGAACTAAGAAAGATGCCTTTGATGTATCGATTGACGGCACATTGCAGAAAATTCAAACAAGACTTCAAGAACTCAATTTGGCTCTGTGACCTGTTCTGCCATTCTTCTACTCACTGTAATTATAATTTTGGTTGCTTTACTTCTTCCTTCCTTCTTTAGTTAATTATATCTACTGTAGGTTCTGGATTAAATTAGAGAGTTTTTGTGTTTCATTGGCAATAATCCATTGGTCTCGATGCATTCCTTGGTAATATTGTTTTTGAGCTAAATAGTGAATCAATTCTATCCAATTGTAGCTCCCCTGCATCTTATCTGAATCTTGTGATTTTACCTCAAGAGAGAGTATGGAAGTGATAAGATTTTGAGTTAGAAATTGATCTTGCATATTATGCGTGTAGCATCTTATCATTCTTTTGATATGAATATAGAAGCAGGGATTGGACGCTGTACTTGTAAGTTTCTATTGCTATCTCACTGTCAGTAAGTAGGGAAGGCACAGCGACTAGATAGAGCCCTTCCATTCTGCAGTGTTCCCTGGGCTAATCTGAAGTTATTGAAGGTTTTGATTGTAGAAATCTGTCATTATATCTTTGTGATCTTCTTCCGTTTTTATGTATGTTTGCCCCAATTACATTTCTATGGAGCCTAGTAATGTAGCAAAATGCTGCATCTTTACTAGTGATGAGTGTGACAATGCACTATGCCTTCTTATTATTTGATTGTTCCATTCATTTCCTAGAGTCACTCGCCCCTCCATCATCATGTGATTCTTCTGAGTTGAAATATAGAGATGCATAAAAACAGCATAATGTGTGAATATGCATAGAAAGGTTAAAGTCTCGGGTCATTTCAGTTCTGCCTTCATCAGGTACACAGTTGTTTGGTATTGCAGATGGAATTTGGTTGTCTCTGAAATACATTTTAATGCAAATTTCAGAAAGGGGGTAATGATTGATCTAACTACAGCTCTTATGCCTTATTTCCGGTTTGCACAATATTCTTCCCTCTTGCTAAGCAACTTATCTGGACGAACTTGTATCAATAATTCTCTGAATTTCATTTTGATGCCATACTTTTACATGACAGCACTGATAATTCTGAGGAATAAAATTGTACAGCCAGTTTGTTCTAGAATTTATCTTGTGATTAGGTATCTATTATACAGATATGAGAAAGGAAGATTAAACTAGCTGCTGATGTTTGATATGATTTATCTCTTTTGTGTTTTACAAACTGAACATTAGCCTTGATAATTATACAACACATTTTACCTTTGGGAGTAAGAAAGATATATTTCGATAATAACCATACATGAAAGCTTTAAAAATATATAAGCACAAGTTTTGCCCTTTTTTCAATAGATTAATGTGAAAAGCATGTTTGTTAGTTAGGCTACTTTATTAGCTTGTTTGTTAAGATTTATGCTTGTCTCATGATATTAGAATACTATTGAAATTCGATGACGAAAGACGTGCCTGGTTCTGTTAAGCTTCCCTCTACGATGGTAAATCATGAATCTTCTTCTGACCGAGAACCAGCTTCTGCTTGATGTTGATTATGAATATGGTGAGAAGACTTTGACTATTATTCTTCTTCCCTCTTCCATTATGTGCTTATTTGTTCTTT